AAACAAAAATATTGGTGGTAATTTTTGACTGTGTAACTTTACAAACGGCACACGTTGAAAATGACAGAAATCCGTCGTGGCGACAGAACTGCAGAGCAGGATTAGTGTCTTCTCGAGGTTCAGCTTCATAAAGCCTGTTCACTCATTCCATAGCAGGTTAGGTTTTAGGATTAGAGATCACACCTCCTCTTTCAATCAACCAAAAAAATAAAAAAATACCGTAACTACTTGAAGAATCACCTGTGCGAAACAACTGGAGTCTCATTTGTTTCACAGGAACAGGRTCAGGACTCCTGGGTTGATTTAACAAGTTAATAAGCAGCTTTGTAACCAATAAGCACAAGTTCTCATGGTTAGGGTTAAAGCAGGATCAAAAGGAACCTTGGATAGGTTGAACCTGTTCATGGCTTCCTTCTTCCCAGGTCATCCCCACACGGGACCGGCAGGAGGGGATGGCAGCCTTCATTGAGAAGAGACCCCCGCGGTACACCGGGGAGTGACCGTGTCCCACTCACCTTCAGCTCTGCCTTTTATGTCCTCATGCTAAAAAAGTATTGGCGTCTTCTTTTTTTCTATTTCTACTTAGAAGATTATTATAATTATTATTATTATAACAGCTGAGCTGTTTTATCAGATGTTTGTCACAGTAGTGTGAGGATAGCAATAGTTAACTGTTATAAATAAGTTACTTTAAGGTGATCAGAAGTGAGCATTTGAAAAAGAAATTGCCGCCTTCAGTTTATGCCAATGTACRTTCTTTATTTCCAAACTTGAAATTGTGACCGAGCATGGCCATGGCACAGTCTTTGCAAACAGTGTATATATTGCAATTTTTACATTTAAATTGTGGAAAACCRTCTTGTATTTAGGACAGTATTTAGGTATTCAAAGAAACAATGTGATCGTTTTTGAGCAACAGTAAAGTTTAGTCATCAACTTCTTCTGTCTCTTATTGAAACCAATGATCAGCTCAGGAACACATGGACATTTAACCACCGTCACACAACCTGGTATAACAACACCTTTAATCTCAGCAGATGTAGGTACACTAACAGCTGCATATCAGGTGCCATATTTGTAGCCAGACATTTGTATTATTACAGTAATTTAAACCCTTGTACATCTAAGAACATGCAYRCTTTCTGACCYGTTGCTTGTRCTTTAATTTATTAGCCTTCAGTCTGACTGCACTCTGTAAAAGTGGTTGATCACACAGAAAATAGGAGATGGGGCGTTTAAAGAGCTGAACAAAAAACTGGTGGCATCTTTGAAGAAAAGACGTAAACATTGGGAAAAGTTATTAATAATTTACCTGCTATGCACAATTATTGAAAGAAAAAACAAAAGGCGTACGACAGAAACTTCCAACCAACTGAACTGACCTTAAAGTCATATTCGCTTTCAAAAAAATGTGATTTTTACAATGTTTATGGGATCTATAGTAAAGGTAACCACTAAATATGCATCATTCATTACCAGAAGTCTACAGCACAAATTGTATGAAACAAATGAAGCCAGTCAGGTTTGTTACCAACAGTTAAGCAATGTTTACATCTGAACATTGACGAGTCCACTTCAGTCCACTGATACTGAGTCAGWAAAATAATCCCTGGATGTAAACACAGTCTGGGGTAGAACAATGGCTTCAAAAGCAAAAGTTTAAGTCCAGCTTTATTCTCTCTTCTGAAAACAAACAGCGACAGACGAGAGTCATCAGAAGTAGAGACAACAGAGTGGAGAGGGTTAAAGAAAAATTCATGAGCTATACCAAAATATTCCAAACTACTGATCACCAAATGTAGTTATAAACAAAAGGGAGGATTGTTTTTTTAATGCAACTCCTTACAAAACCCTAATAAGTCCACGATGCATTAATCCCAAACAATCTTTGAATTGTGTAGAAATAGAAGCATAAACATTTTAAAAAATCATGTATTTTGACTGGTATTATGGCTTTAATCTAAAACTAGTTGCCCTTATTTTCAACGTCCATGTCTTGAAATAGTTTATTTTTGTACAGATGTACTTACATACATGCTTAAACTGAAGTATTCTCTTCACGAAGCATTTAGAAGCAAACTCAATCCAGTAATACCTTAAATAAAAAGCAGGTGCAACTGAAGACACTGGTAACGACTAATCTGCTGCTACTTGTTGCCTTTTGTATTCAGATGACATTTAATCCAGACAAAATGGACTGATTTAGTCAGCTTCTGCACATTTCGCCATTGATTCAAGTGATTTAGAACTATTTGATGGTTAGAAAAAGACCACTGAATCAAAGATTATTATAGAACATGTGGACCCACTAATTATGGCAAATGCCTCGTCTTTGACATTAAAAACTTCAAAGACTAGTGCAGCTGCAGAGCCGAAGCAAGAGTTTTTATTGAACAAAGCACTGCTACAAATATGCAAGCAGGCATTCCTAAAATCAACAGTATCAATATTTAGACCAGCATGCCTGAGCTCACAGCATTGTCATGCATATATGTAAAAATGTAATAATCAATTTGAAAAAAAACTTAGTTGGCAATGTTTGAGGGCTGTTAGGGGTTAAATCTACCATCTTCACCAACAGTCTGTAGGACTGCACTTTAGGCCTGGATTAGACGACAACACTCAGTCCTCTGGTGGGAGCTGACGGACTGTAGACAGGCACAGGAACTGATAAACGGCCCAAATCATAGGTTTGGAAAAGCTCTTTTCCCTTTGACAAGGAAAATGTGAAGTACACTGGTTGGAGTCCTAACTGGGCACGAACTGCTAAAAACAGCCAGTTCGGATGTTATCAGTCCATTAAATGGACRTTAWTAGCGGTTATCAGTCCCATAGAATGGCTTCAGACTGTCCCGAGTCCGACAGTTCCCCCTAGTGGGTTACCAGTGCTATATACGTTGGAATGCAACAATCTGAGTAAGGCGTCCCTGTAGGTTTTCTCCTGTGGGCGGAGACGGCTCAAATAGTCATTGGCCRAGGTCTTAATGTGGGTGGAGATGGCCCAACATGTGATTGGTCAGATTTACGTTGCGGGGAATAGCTGCTTGATCCGAGTCGGGCAGGAAGCAACATGTTTTTTAAGATTAATTTTAGTCATAACTTGAGAWAGGAAAGTGCTACCTGCACGAAATTTGAACATTGTACATGTAAAAGGATGTGTAACAACATGGCTCAGTTAAAACATCCATAACCAGCCTGTAAAAACATCGCTAAAAATCTTTTTTTTTTACAGGCTGGTTAGGGATGTTTTGACATACTGTTACACAACCTTTCACATGTACGACATTCAAATTTCGTGCAGGTAGCATTTTCCTTTCCCAAGTTATGACTAAAATTAATCTAAAAAAAACCCCCCGCTACTTCCTGCCTGACTCGACCAAGCTACTCCCCGCTGCCTCCAGCCTCAAACCCCACCGTCAATCTGACCAATCACGTCTCGGGCCATATCCGCCCACATTAAGACCTCGGCCAATGACGATTTGGGCCGTCTCCGCCCACAGGACAACACGTTCTGCAGACCCCTACTTGAACAATCTGCTACCGCTGGAGTCCGGTCTACCTTATCATAGCCCATGTTAATGTCTCTAAAACTAACCTTAGTGGCTTTATGTCTCATATTAACCAGCTGACAGTCTGAAGCCATTCTATGGGACTGATAATAACGTCCATTTAATGGATGATAACATCCGAAGCGGGTGGCTAAAAACCACTAAATGGTGATGGGACTCCATGACAATGGTCTGTGTGATGCCTGTGGCATTGAACTACAGATCTCTTTGCTCTACTAAAGGCTCGGTTATAGTCGCGCTTTGGATTGTTGCGCAAGCTCCGCGGAGTGGGCGCGCTCCTGAACCGTGCGCTGTGTGAAAACGTAGTTGACGTTCATGTTATCACTGTCCTTCTGTCACCGACAGACGGCAGTACGGTGCTAAAGCAGCGGAAAAGTAGTCGGGAAGAGTGTAGAAGAAAAAACGGTTAACGTCACACATAAAGTAACCAAATTTACCTCTTTTTCCATATTATCTGTTTCTCTGTSCTTCAYGAACTGAGAGCCACACTGGTTTGTTTCCTCCAGGATCACAAAACAGTCGCAAATATTTTTCCATGTCGTCTGGCATATAACTCATCTTTCTTTAAAGCCGTTGCTGTTTCCTTCCATGAGTTTTGTGCCATCTGGTTGTCTTTATGATCTCTCATGGAGGGATCATACAGATGCYGGYACATTTGGACCTGTTCAGTGAGAGCACCTTCATGACGAGTGGTGCGCAACCTTTGCGGAGTTTCAAAATTTGGGAGGTGCACAACCACGCGCCAGGACACAACACGGGGCCAACACGCGGGGGCGGGGATTCCGTGATYGCGTCACTTTTGACACAAACCGAGAAGGGGTTATCTGTGGAATGAAAGTGGGCATGTCACAAGAGTGGGCGTGTCTAAAGCATAAACACTGTGGGCTACGAGGCCTACATGATGTATACTTAGACCTTGCTTGACCTCTATACAGCCTGACCCTGACCCCAACACTAAGGTTAACCAGGAGAAATGTGACCCAAGTAGGGGTCTCCAGAAAAACTGGTGCCGTACAGTAACGCCCCTTTTGTTCTTGCCCAATCAGGTGGTGCCGTACGGTGACACTCCTTTTTTTTTACTTGTCCAGTCAGGTGTGTCCCTCCAACAAACTCCGTCAAATCAGGTGTGTCGCTTTAGAATCGCCTTTCGTTGGGACACGCCCACTCGTCCGCAGAGACCCCTACTTGCGCAAACCCCCTCGCGCCCTGTGCGTTGCGTCAACAATAACCTAAGCTTTAGGCCACTGCCTGGCTCTGAGCAGCCAAAGGAAAAGCATTCTTGGGGACGTCTTACACTAAGCTCTCTAATCTTGTGTCCCTCTGAGGGACGCAAAGGTTTGACTGAAGACCAGTGTCTTTTTGGAGACAGCAATGGGCCTACTTTTAGGAGACCCCCACTCATATGGGTTCTATATCCATTCCCACTCAGCATAACCAGAGGGGTTCAATATTAGTGTCTTTTTATGTTTATTTTAGCATAAAAATCATTCTGATGCAAAGTTAACCTAAGAATTGAGCACAAACACAAAGTCCATATTGAGCTTAATGCACAGTCAGCTTATACAGTATTATAAATGTTTCATCAAAACAGTTGAACACAGACTTATTCTTGCTTTGACAACATGAAATAAATAAGATTAATGTGTGCAAAGTTTTGCATTGTTTGTCCATTTTTCAGATTCAGATGTGTTTGTGTGCAGGACTTGCATCACATTTGCACAAACGTTTGTCACCATAAGGAGTTCAAAGCACCAAGTCGTCTTCTACAACAGGGAGCATCATTTTCTGGAAGAGAACACGTAAAATGATAAAATAATAATAAAAAACTTTTGTAAGCTTAACAAAAAAAAAAAAAAAAGAAGAAGAAAAAACTGGTTTGTGTATGCGGGACGGCCGGGCTCAGCCTCAGAGACAGGGTGAGGAGTGAGTAGAGCCGCTGCTCCTCAACATCGAAAGGAGTCAGCTGAGGTGGTCCATTTGATTAGGATACTCCTGGACATGTCCCTTTAGACCTGTTCCAGACACAAGACTTGCTGGAGGGATTGTGTGTCCTCTCTGTTGCCCCCGTGACTCGACTATGGATGAGTGGCAGAAAACGGTGATGGTCTGTGTGTGTTTTAACTTTGTGAGGTTACTGTGGGGGTGGGCGTCGGCCTGTGTGTGCTGGCTGGCCCGTGCGGGTTCTGTGGCGCTGCAGGCTCTCCAGGATGCTTTCAGCCAGCAGTCTGACGTCGCCGTGGGTCTGTGGGTGTGCGTGAACGTGYTCCAGCTGCTGCAGGCCGCCCTCCTCCAACAACATGCTGCAGTAACGAGACGCTGCACACAAGTGGCAACATAACGTTAGAGAGACGAGCAGCTTGGGTCCACTGCTAGGAMATATAACTGAGAAGCATTATTTGGTTTAATGTCTCACCGTTTTTGCTGCAGACATGCTGCATGGCCCAGGCTGCCCACAGCTGGACACCAGGTGTGTGAAAACACTCCAGCAGAGGGAAAAAAGGGTTAAAAGACCTGAAATGTGAGAAAAGGACAGTTTTTTATTATAAATACCTAACATGGAATATTCTACGCTCAATTTCAGTTTTATTTCATCTTTGCAACTTTTAATCAATTTTTTTATCTAAAGCTACAAAATCAAATACATCAGTCTCAGAAACCAAAAAGCAAAGAAAGTACTCTTAATGATCATTTGTTCCTAATACATCTGCAATAACTGGAGACTTCCTGAAATGTGTTTCTTACTGCACCTTCTGCTCATTTTGTACAAAGCATTTCATACTTCATCACAATCTCTGGGAAACAAAATACATCTTATATATTTCATTACATTTATTCCAGAGCTGTAGATTAGGGTGTATTGCACTAAAAACGTGGAAACATTACAGAAAATTAGCTGTAAGTGTAGCTTGAATAATTAAAAAACAATTGTTTCCAGTTTAAATGTGACGATTTGACCAAAAATCGTATAATTGATTTACAATTTGATGATACTATTTTTAAATAAGTTCTGAGGTTCAGTTATTCAGTAGTCATTCACTCACTTTAACAGCTTTTCTCACAAACAGATTGGGCCTCATGCAAGAACATGTTCGTATTCTTCTCCTAAATTTCTCTTACTTTTGTTCGTACAAAGGGTTCGTACGAACATGTCACGTCAGATTCAACAAACTCTTCTATCTTCAGGAAAAGTGTGTAAATGAGCTGCGTAAATTCCATCTGTTCTATCCAGCTGCTCGTGCACGCGAGAGGAGATTAGCATAATTACCACCCCAAAAACACCATATAAGGCTRTGTTTCCTGCCTCAGATACAAGGAAGTGTCCATTCATGAAAATGAAAACTAAAAAGAAAAACTTTACGAGTTCAGAGATTGAAGTCCGTCTGTCAGAGATCCAGAAAAGAAAATCTGTCATTTTTAGCAGGTCAGCTGTGGAATAAAAAGAGCTGCTAAAAGTATAAACAACTGTGTTAAATCATTTTCATTTATTAAGAAGACACAGTGCTGCGCACCGTACAGCCCCCCCCCCAAGCACACGGTCTCAAGTTGTCTCAGTTGCGGTTCTGAAATAATTATTTTAAAATGTTTTCAAAATAAGTCTGGCACTTTGGAGAAAATCCAGGACTCACTGGAGGGATTATGTACGTATCCCCTCTGGCCTGGGAACGTCTCAGAGTCCCCCAGGACGAGCTGGAAGGTGTCGATGGGGAGAGCGGGGTCTCTCCTGCTGCCCCCGCACACGATAGAGGATAAGCCGGCCGGACGGACAATTTATATTGTTAGTCTAAATTATTACATTTAAAATTATAACTCTAATTCAAGCAGAATAGCCTATTGTCAACATAATTATGGAGTGTGATTTATTTTCAACTCAAAATATCTTCAAACTAATGAAATATAAAGTTATTAGTGAAGAAAACCCGTCTGGATAACAGCAGACTGACTGCTGGTAAAATATACGACAGGTCTGGACCACTCATGAATTTTGTTCGTATCTGAAAAAAATCTTAGAATATGAAAACATTGGTGAATGCCACAAATTCTCCTAAATCACTCGTACGCACAACTTAAGAACAAATCTGTGCGTACGAACGGTTCTTGCATGAGGCCCAATGTTTCCAAATCAAACAATCAATTGAATATCAGAGAAATAATAAGTAAAGTAATATTTAAGGAAGTGAAAAAAAGAGTGAACTTGAGCTAAATACAAMATTAAAACCTTGATTTTAAGAACAGTGTATCTCACCTGTAAGCCACCATTTCACACTCAGGAGGAGGCCACTTCATAATGACAGCATGCTGGAGAAACACACCAGTAGATAACTGTCAGCTGAAATGATCAAACAGCTCACAGGCATTCATCAGAAGCAGCTTTGCTTCATCCTACCAGCTGTTCGAGCAGCGAGGAGCGCAGACTGGCACTGAGGGTCCACGCCTCCTCTCCACGTGACGTCAGATGAGCCAGGATGCCTGCAGCGAAGTAGCTGACCTCCACCTCGGGGCTGTGCAGCAGAGCACTGATGTGGTCCAGAAAGCCCTGCACCATCAGCTCTCCGTGCAGCTCCCTTACTTCTGCAATGTTGTTCTACAAAACAGGCCATTTTAGTTTTATTGATCTGTTCACCCAGTGGTTCCCAAACTGTGGGGTGGCTTGGCTGAATGGAGGGGAGGTGGAGGTGGGAATGCTCAGACCTTGTTGGTCTGGACAGGTTCAGGTTTTTCATGGATATTTATTCTTAATCAACAAACTTTTATTTTTTTCCTCTCAGGATGCTGTTCATGTTTAAACAGAGTTGTAAAGTAACTAAGTACAAATACTTTGTTACTGTACTTAAGTAGAAATTTTGGTTATCTGTACTTTACTTGAGTAATTATTTTTCAGTGTACTTTTTACTTTTACTCATTACATTTTTACACAATTATCTGTACTTTATACTCACTACATTTTTTTAAAAAGGTAAGAAGTAGAAAGTCGTTAATCCAATTTTATTCTGAGTTGTTACTTAAAAAATCCTCTCCTGATAAACTGTGTCTCCTATAGAGTGAATTTAATTGTGTTTGGATGAGAAGTATAAATATATACCATTCTGACACACTATTAGCTTGTACACAACACATCACAGCTGCACGCTGTTAGAAAATATATTTTTTTGGAGAGGACAGTGTTGTATATAGTACCTGAAAGTGATACTCGAGTAAAAGTACAAGTATCTTATCAAAAAATTACTTTGGTAAAAGTTCAAGTCTCTTTTAAGAATATTACTTGAGTAAAAGTCTTAAAGTATCTGATTTATTTTGTACTTAAGTATCAAAAGTACATTTCTGACATAAAATGTAATTAAGTATTAAAAGTAAACGTACTGAGTAAAAATGAGCAGTTAGATTTCTACTTAAGTAGAGTAACAAAGTATTTGTACTTAGTAGCGGTGTAAGAAAATATCGATACACTGAAATGTCGCGATATTTCATTTCCCGATACTGTATCGATATTCTAAAGCCCTGTATCGATTTTTTATTAAGGTTTAAAATGTCAACTTTCTTGCTAACCTTTATTTTTTTTGTTGTAGTTCAGCCTCTGACCACTAGTTGGCTGCAGTGAGCCAGACATTTGGCTCCTCTACCTCTTGAGCGCTAGAGAGTAAGGGTAGCATTAGCATTGTAGGAGACAATGGCTGTGTCCAAAACAACAGGACGGGTCCTCCGAAGGTCGAATTTGTCGGCCGCATACGTCACAGCGCCGCGACGAAGGACGTCCAAAACSGAAGACTCCTCCGATGCGTCCGACAAATACGTCCTTCCTTTTCCCCGAATCGAAGGACAGGTCTGATGGATCCTTCCCGGCACAGCGTATCCCATAATGCATTGCGGCCCGACCGGAGATTTTTTTTAAGCTAGTAATGGCGGACGAAGCGAGAGAAAAGAATACATTTTAAATAAAAATATGGTGATTTAAAAATTAAAAAAAATTAGCGGGTGTAATTCTAATACTTTTATCATTTGTATGGACATGTTTTTAATTATTATTTTTTCGTCATAAAAAACGTGAAATAAACATGAACCTACAGCGGGTCAATTAGTTCTTCAAATGATACCTTTAAGTTAATTTTATAGTTTTGTGATATTAATAATGCTAATGTATTGATATTTTTCTAGTTTTGATTTAAGTTTGCTTGTTTAGCGTCGTCACAGTTGCTAGGTGACATGACGTACGCCGGGGTAAGGAGGGGAGGYTAGACCGTCCAAATTCACAGCCTCTTTTTTTCCGGTCTTCCCGATCTACCAAGGACCCGGCCCGCCGAGACCGGGGAGTCTGTCGTTTTGGACACAGCCAATGTAAGCATTGTAAGTAAACATTAGCTTTTCTTTTTTTTCAGTAAGAGGTTTTTATTTAATAGAACTTTTGGACAAAAAAATCSCAATATATCACAATAAATTGCCTTGCTTACAGTATCGCAATATATCGGGATAAATCGTATCGTGACCCCTCTGTTATGATATGTATCGTATCGCCAAATTCTTGCCAATACACAGCCCTAGTACTTAGTTACTTTATAACTCTGGGAGAAGTCACCTCCCAATAAATGTCATTTTGGAAAATCTAACTGCTCACTTTTACTCAGTACTTTTACTTTTAATACTTAAGTAGATTTTGTGTCACAAATTTACTTTTGATACTTAAGTACAAAAAATATCAGATACTTTAAGACTTTTACTCAAGTAATATTTTAAGAGAAGACTTTAACTTTTACCAAAGTATTTTTATGATAAGATACTTGTACTTTTACTCAAGTATCACTTTGAGGTACTTTATACAACACTGCTGTTTAAAAACCCACTTCGCACAGAAATACTTTGTTTTATTGACGCAATGATGAATATTTTCACAAAGTAAAAAAAAATCATTACACTTAATATTTACTATAAAGATGTTTTTTAAGATGTTGTAATTTATTGCAATCTATTTTTTTAAGTTTTCTTTCAGTTCAAATGTTAAAGAACATTTTGTGGTGAGAAACAAACTGAAATGAGTTTAAAAACAAAATATCTATGTATGTGGTTGGAGACTGTGTGTGTGTGTGTGTGTGTGTGTGTGTGTGTGGTATGAAATTATTTTTACAAACCAAAGTGGGGCCCATCAGAAAAGCTTTGGGAACCACTGTGTTAACCAGATGAACAGAACGTTTGAAGGATAAAATGAGTAAACTCACCAGCAGACCCAGAACCTTCTGCTGAATGGACGACTCATTGGGGAAAGACTGCAGAGACAGTTGAAGGAGGTGGGAACAGAACAAACAGAAACATGATGAACTCCCACATTAATCTGCTCTGGGTTGTCTTCTCAATGTTTCTGTGTACCTCCAGAACTTTAATGAACAGATCCAGTCCCTGGTTCTCAATAAAATGGCGGCAGGTTGTGGGCGACTCGTCTGTCAGGTTCCAGAGTGCACTCAGTGTGAACTTCAGGGTGGCGTCCACCACGCTTTGACTGGCTTTCTGACGCACGATGTGGAGCAGTTGCTGCGGGCCAGCAGATGAAAAGTTATATGTTTGAAGAAAGTTTACAGAAAAAGATAAAAAGATGAAAAGCATACCTTTACAATGAACAGCTCTGCTCCCAGCTGAGCTGTTTGTTCTGTAGACAACTGCAAAAAGCAAACGTTAAGGTGACAGTTCACCTGGCAGATACAGTGCATGGAAAACAAAGGAAAAGCACAAAAATATCCACCTTAGCAGCTAGAATGGAAATGATAGCCACAGCCATCCTCTGCATGTTTTGGTCCTCATGGTTGCAGAGCCACTGCATCACTAGTTTGGCAGCTTCAAACCTTCAAACCAGAAACATAAATTGTGCTGAACATCGGGAACAATAAATTATATAATAACTAGGGCTGCAACGATACAGAAAATTCACGATTCAGTTCGGTTCGATACTTTAGTCTCACGGTTCGATATATTTTTC